TTAAGAATCACCGTTGTGAAACTCCATTCTATCTTAAAGCTAAATATTAACACAAGCTCTACCTAACCGATCCACTGGAAATAATAAGGCCATCCATAGCACACATTAAGGGGTTTGAATAGGGTTTCGTGTGGGTTTGGCTGTTGCGTTGTTGGGTTTGATGAAGTATAACCTAGAAGCTTATGCAATTTGAAGATTGGTGATGAGAGTTGCATTCAGAAATTTGATTTTGCTTAGTATCTTAGGTGAAACTGAATTAAGATTGCTAGATAGTCAAAGTAGTATTTTACAATATAATAAAGCAATTCAATTAGAGACACTAATGGGGGAGTCTGTGATGTGAAGTGCTATGGGGGGGGGATTCATTGATTTTTTCTTTGGTAATCCATAGATATGCGGATGTAAAGAATTAAGTATTCTAATACTAGATAAACAGAAACTAACCATAAACAACATCTAAAAAGAGAGGAATAATTCTTACTTTGCAATTAAAGATGTAATATGAGAGAGGAGAGAGTACCAAACCTGGACTTTGTAGCTGGAGACAGACAAGCAGAAACCCTTGGAAACTAAACATTGACTTGCGCTAATAAATATGTTTGGTCTTGTGTGTTTAACTCAAAATAAAGTCTTTTGAAAAAAATTCAAATTTATTTAGTTGAATTAAATAAAAAAAAAAGGAAAATTTTAAATCATTTTCTCCTTCTCTACACATCAATTATATTTTTTTTCTCTCCTTCTCTCTTTCTCAATCACTTTTTTTTACACAACTATTCAACTGCTAACAAATATTCAAATCTTCTCAATTCCCATACTCCCAAACTATTTCTAAAACATGGCCTCGTTTGGAAGTAGCTATTTTTTAGCTTTTGGCTATTTAGCTATTTTGTAGATTAATTTTAGTTTTATGTATTTGTAAGATGAGCATGAATATTTATGTTAATTTTGTAATGGAAAAGTTGTTGAAATGATGTTTAAAGTTAAAAATGATATAATTTATCCCTAACTTTTTACTTATTTCAAAATTTAACTAAAGGGCTAAAATTTGTTAATTTATAAGCTGGGGATATCTCCGAGCACATACCTCACTGTGAACGCTGTCGTGCGTTGCCTTCCTAGCTTTTCTTTTTCTTTTTTTCTTTTTTTTTTAATAAATAATGAATAGTACTTTTGACTTATTTTCTAATTGAGGCTATATCGCCTCAATTGTCTTTCCCAAACAGCGCCATAATAACATAAACAAACCACAAAAAAATTCTAACTCTTTCTTCACGATTTTTATTTTAAATTTATCTCTCAAATACAAACAACACACCCTTTATTTTATTTCACCTCTCTCAAACATATTAGTCTATTAAAAACACATATAAATATAATGATGATTAATTAATATTTTTAAAACAGTCACAGACAGTAATTTGAAAACTATACTATACTTTTTAAGTATATAATTATATAATAATATATGTTTTTTAAATGGACTAATATTTTGCAGAGAGGTGAATAAAAAAAGGTGTTTGTTTAAGTTTTAGAGATAAAATTAAAATAAAATGTGAGAAAGATTTAGAATTTTTTGTTGTTATGTTATACTATGGCGCCTTTGGAAGATCAATTGAGCTGATAATAGCTCAAATTAGAAATAGCAAAAAGCTCCACATTCACCATTTTATTAAAAAAAAGAAAAAAAGAAAAAGAAAAGCTAAAAGACAGGCAACAGCCTACGTACAGCTACCACAGTTAGTTACGTGTGCCTACGACATATATCCCCATCTATTAAATTTAATTTGCCCCTTTATAATTTGAAACAATAAAATAGATAAATTGTAATCATTTTAACTTTAAACTCGATTTCAACACATTTCCAAGTTACAACAATCAAATATAAAATTCATCCATCTTACCAATACAAAAACAAAATAATTACATAAACTAGTTAAATAGCCCAAAAGCTAAAAAATAGCTGCTTCCCAACAGACATTTTCAAAATAGTTTGAGATATGGGATTGAGAAGATTTGATATTTGTTACAGTTGAACTAGATGTGTGGTAAAAAAAAGTGATTGAGAAAGAGAGAGGAGAGAAAAAAAAATAATTAATTGATGTGTAGAAGAGAGAAAGTGAATTTAAATTTTTTTTTTTTTTTAATTTTCAACCAAATAAAATTTTGAATTTTTTTTCAAAAACTATATTTTGAGTTAAACCACACAAGACCGAAACATATTTCCTTAGCGCAGGTCAATGGTTTAGTTCCAAGGGTTTCTGCTTGTCCCTGTCCTCCAGCTACAAAGTCCCAGGTTTTGGTACTCTCTCCCTCTCTCATATTCTACTCTTTACTTACCAAATTGTTAGAATTTTCCTTCTTTTAGATGCTTGTTTATGGGTGATTTTCTCTTTCTGTATTGAATCTGTAATTTCTTTACTCCCCCATTCTTATGGATTCCCAAGAAAATCAAGAACCCCATCACTCACCACAACCCACTCAAACTCACCCCTTGTTCTTCAAATTCAGTTGCTTCTATTTATTGTCAATACTAGTTCTACTTCTAGCAATCTTATTCAGTTTCACCTACACAGACTACTACAAAATTCAATTTCTGAATGCAACTCTCTCACCAGAGTCTTCCCATTTTCATAAGCTTCTAGGGTTTCTTCACTCAAACCCAACAACCAAACAAAACCCACAACCAAACCCTATTTCCAAACCGCCTTATTGTGTGCTATGGATGGCCCCTTTTCTTTCAGGTGGTGGGTATAGCTCAGAAGCTTGGTCTTATATCTTAGCTTTACATGAAAACAAGAAAAACCCTAGCTTTAGAATGAGTATTCATCAACATGGTGATCTTGAAATTCTTGAGTTTTGGGAGGGTTTGCCTCAGGAGATGAAAAAATTGGCTCTTGAGCTTTACCAAACAGAATGTGAAATGGATGATAATACCATTGTGATATGTCATAGTGAGCCTGGTGCTTGGTACCCTCCTCTGTTTCAGACACTCCCATGCCCACCAACTGGTTATGAAAATTACAGATTCATAATTGGTAGGACTATGTTTGAGACTGATAGGTTGAATCCTGAGCACGTAAGGCGGTGTAATCAAATGGATTCTGTATGGGTTCCTACTGAATTCCATGTGTCTACATTCATACAAAGTGGGGTTGATTCGTCGAAGGTTGTGAAAATTGTTCAACCTGTTGATGCGAATTTCTTTGATCCTGTCAAGTATAAGCCATTAGACCTTGCCTCTATAGGGACTATAGTTTTGGGCTCAACTCCATTGAATTCAAATCCCGATAACAAGTTTGTTTTCTTGAGCATTTTCAAGTGGGAATATAGGAAGGGTTGGGATGTGTTGTTGCAGGCATACTTAAAAGAATTCTCTAACGTCGATGGGGTTGCTTTGTATTTGTTAACACATCCATATCACTATGGATTATTTTGTGTGGTTTTTAAAATTATAAATAGTCATTGTCAGAATTTTTTATTTAATAGAATTACTAAAAAAATAAAAAATTTAACTATTTTTCTATACAATAATAAAATTATGTCAATTATTAATTAAAATATATTTATGAGATCATTATAAAAAGTTGATTGGTTAATAAACGGAGTTATTTGTTATACAAAGGTGTGTAGATCACAGATATGTGGTTGAAAGTTGGCAACACTAACCCTAGGGTGTTCAACATTAGCCCGGAAGTTGGAAAAACGGGCGCCGGGAGGCTCCGGAGGAGAGATAACTGGTTGCTGCAACAATTGCTGGCCTCTCACCCGTCAGTGACCTTCCTGGTGATAAAACAGAGGTACCTGCCAAAAATGAACGAAAACCGTTGCAAAACGAAAGTTCCGGGGCCAAAACACGTAGTTCGGGGTCCCGAAAATGGGCTGTTAAGCACCAAAAGTGGCGTTCGGCCACGAAGTGGGTTTCTCAGCCCCCAGTGTTCCTCAAAAAGGAGAAAATAGGAAGTATTCCAAAAATTAGAGCAATAGGGGATGGTTAAGCGGTCCCGAACCGAGGCACACGGCCTGACGGCCCTGAAAACCGGGAACCGGACTCCGAAATGGGAAAAATGGCCTACGGCCACCAAATGTAGCCTACGGACATTGAGAGATAGTCTACGGGACCTCTCCCTCCCCTCAGGAAAAGAAACAGAGAAAATCGAGTCTGGCTCGCAAACCGAGACAAGGCACAGAAAAGGGTTCGGAAGTCCGGAGGTAGGGCTCATTGCCGCGACTCTGAAACTTCTGAATGAGCACATTATACAACATCACCGAGCGCTCCATCGGTGACGTCTGAGTCTTAAGGTCGGTCAAAAATGGGGTGTCTACACATATGTTCGCATGTGTAGCTAGATTTTGAATGAATTGTCTTAGATACTTTGTCAATATGTAATTTTTGGGTTGCTTGCTACCCATTTATAGACTTATATGTGTGAACTTAATATAAGCATGTGTATGTATGCTATCTTGTATTAAGATCCTGACATTTAAACACAGCTCAATGGATGTTACATTTTGATATTATATTTGCTTCCGTTTAGGCCCCAGGGTTGTATCAAACTTAAATTGGGTTTTGAGGCCTAGGTATAGACTGGTCATGCCCAAACTTTTAAGGGCAGGTTTGGGTTGTGACAGTTCGTCTAGTCGGGCAGGCTGGGCTGGGCTTGGGCGTTGGTGCGTGATGTGAGGTTGGGTTGGGCTTGGCTTGTCCAGCCCAATACTTAACTTTTTGGGCCAAAAAATTTTTGAATTTTATTTTTCTAAAATTAAATTCTTACCTTTTTTTTTTGGAATTTGAATTTCGAATTAATTCCGAAATGGTGTCTAGATTTTTTCCTCAATCCAAACAGGTTTATATTTGTTTAAATTCAACCCGAACAGATTTAGTATCTATTTAAATTCAAACCAAATAGGTTCCTTACCTGTTCAAACAGTATCGAACAGGTACCATACCTGTTCAAATAGGTTTGTTATCTGTTGGATTCAAATTTGAAAAGCCACCAGTGCATTTATAAATAGTCAATCCCTTATTTAGATTTTGCACTCAAGCTTTTCCGTTCTGATTCTACTATTGCTCTCTGCATTTTGCTGCATTTAATTTTCATGTGAGAAAGAGTATAAACACAAAGTGTGTTCGTTGTGCAAATAGTTTGTAATGCTATTACTGTTTGTTGTAGATCGTTTCATCTTGGGAGATAGACGTCCATAATCTGTCAGCACCCTAGAGAGGATGAATCTGTCTTAAGGAGACACTATTCAACTGGACTTGATCTAAATATCTGACAAAATAATACTGTAAGTAATTCGATTACTTTTCTATTTTTTTTGTTTTTTCTTTTTCAGATTCTGGTTTTGTTTTTGTAACAAAATATGAATATGTTTTTCTTATATATATATATATACTGTTTTGATTTTTGTAATCAAACAGTCTTTCTCCTTTCTTTAATCCATTCTTTGAATACAATGAAGATTGTCAAACAAAGAGAACCAGAGTGAGATGTCCCAACCATACATGATATCGAGTAGCTTGCTCAAAAGGGATATTTATAAGGCGGAGAAGAACCGATCCCTTTGCAATTGGGAGAAACAAAAGTGCCAAGCAAAATAACCCCAATCAAACTAAACTAAAGTGATGTCAGCTCCAACGTCAAATATCTGAAAATTTTGCAAGTTATAATGGCAATTTAGTTGATGAAACCAATCTTTATATACTGAAAAAATTAAAAATAAAAATAAGTTGAGCATTTTTATATATGTGTATCAACAAAAACTAGTTGTCTAGTTATGTGCACCTAGAAATGAGCAGCCCAAAGCATGCAACAAGCCCGACTAAGGCTCTGTTTGGTGCTAGGAAAAGGTAGAAGAATTGTTGAAATACTCTTAGAATTGTTGGTTGGTAATAATAACATTTTCAAGAAAATTGGGGGCCATGGCATAGCTCTATCCCTGGGCTGGACATATGGTATGTATTTCATTATTTATCATAAAATTTTACAAAATTTCATAACATAAACTATAATATGTTATAATTTTTTTGATTACAAAATTTCATAACAAAAATCACAAATGTCATAATTCATAACTTTAGAACGCATATCATAAATTTTCTATTCATAATTTAACAACATTTTTTTTTAATCGGTAAATGTTAGTTGTTAGATTAGCACCTATGGGAGAAAATCTCTCCACCCTTGGCAAAGCACCTAAGTGTTTGCAATCCCTTAATTCAACCCCCCTAAGAGGATTTGAACCCATGACCTCCTTGGAACTAAGCCCTAAGGAAGGCATGGTGGCCAACTAGGTTAGGCCTTGTTGGTTGATAATTTTACAACATAGTGACACAACACACCACAAATATTTATAACTTTCTTATGACATGCATGCTCTGTCCTTGGACGGTGGGATTAGTCAGTTCAGTAGGCCAGACACCAAGTTTTTGAAGAAGAAAAAATAAATAATAAAAAAAAAACCTAAAAAAGTAAAAAGATTCATGAATAATCACAACAGCATAGAGCATTATACCTTTCCTCTTTAAAAGCCAATTGCAAATTTGATAGAATGTTCAGATTCTCTACAGTAAATACATAAATAGCCCAGATGATATACACAGAAAAGAGGAGTATTCCAATCAACTCAGCAGCAGAAATAACCTCCCAAATGGCCCATCCATAATTGGGAATGTCCACAACCTGAAACATGGTTTGCTGTCATGTATGAAAAAAAGTTTTCTACTACAAAATAATTTTTACTATTCACATAGTCAAAGCTTAATTTAAAAGGAAAACATGAATGAACATATATGAAATATTCACTTTTGCAAAGGAAATTGCTTCAATATGACTACGTGTAGATTATGGATTTGAGTAATGATTTAGAAAATGAAAACAAAAAAGGAAAATTCTATTCACACACCACAAACTCTTTTAGTGCACACCATTTTAATATTTTTTTTTTTGTAATTCCTATTGTATCCCTCAGCTAAATTACTCTTAGGCATAACCCAAAAACTCACTCTCAGTTCACACACCACACTAGCCACCACCATCACCATCGGTACAACTACAGCCTCCTTCGCCACCCTTTGCCACCACTCAATTATCGCCCTCCGCCACATTTTTCTTCTTTCTCTTCGTTCTTCGTTCTTCTTCTTCTTGTTAACCCATTGATTGCCCCATCATCTTGTCACCAGCGGTGTCATGACCCGAACCCGTCCTTATAGATTAAGGTCATAATCGGCCAGTAATCATGAGATTACCTATGGCCTCAAATAAGATTAAACGTATCTTAATTATAAATAAGGAGCCAAAGCGGAAGCAAACTTTAAAAATTTTGTGTAATGAGCTGTGCTTACATGGCATATCAAAATCATTCCCCATATACTTCATAATAACTCACACCACATATTAATAGTCAGCATGTTGTACAAGTAGGATCATTCACACATATAGTCAGCTATACCAAAAACTTATACACATAAATGGTCTATCATGACCAATAGAGGTGGCAAAAGAAAATACAAAAGATCATAAACAAAGCCTCTTGCGTGAGGCACCTGGGCTGACTCCACAAAACTC